TTGAGCATTTCGACGGGTGAACCGTTGCCCGTTTTGAAGTTGCCAAATTCACTTTAAAATACCTTCCAAATCGTTCATTAAAGTTCATTTTGTGAATATTTCAGTGGTTTTTATTGGTATTTATTGGAATTTTTGAATAAAATATGGCAAATTTAATAGAAAAACTTGAAATATCTCTGAATGAATTTTTCTTTAAGATTTCCAGATGAACAAATAAAAAAAAATGAGAAATATTCATTCATAGTCGAAGAACATTTTAGGATAAGTCTGAAAATCTGAAATTCTTCCCTAAAAAGGCGTTTTGCGACAATTTAAGACAATTTCCTTAAGAAAAAAATGTACAAAATACTGATTTTTCCTAGTTTTCGATTCACCCCGTCGAATTGTGGGAATATTTCATACATTTCGGCAAGATTCCGCGGCAAAATTGCCATCAAACTATTCACCAGAGTGCAGAATGGTTCGGAAAAAATAAGTTGAGTAGCGCCAAATCGTAAGTTGTCGTGTGATTTGGTGCGTCTTGCTGCATATTTTATTGACGCCATTAAGGAGGTTTCTCAGGGGGAGAGTTGGGGAGCAGCGTGTGTGCCCGTGGAGATACGGCGAGAGAGAGAGAGAGAGCTCTGAATGGAAGTGGCATTTTGTAATTTCATTAAATCCTTTATAGCATTTTCTTCCATTTATTTCCTGTAGTAAATTCTCATGTTTTTTGCGCTCTCCGGGGCTGTTCAGCATGAGAAAATTAGTATGTTAATGCTGGCGGAGTGTGTGTCTGTTATTTGCTGAATTGTCACATAAACATGAGCATATCATTGAATAAATTGACTGCGAGAGGGAAGCGCCGGGCGGCGGGGGAGTGGGTGGCGCTGGGCGGTGGATCTGCGGAATGACAGTGTTAATAATTTCGATGACAAGACGCTCTTTCACTCCTTTGACGCTCCTTTGGCGGCTCTGTGATGTGTTTCCTTGACTGGGCCGCGGAAGGGCGGCACGCTAGCGGCGCTCTTTTCCTCCCCATTTTCACTCAGAGTGTCGCGCACTATCAGAATTTTTAATTAACGCACCAGTGAATTGTGACAAAAGAGGTGTCCTGTCGTGTCCTGTTCACAATCGAGACGTTGAATGAATGTATTTTTAATTTTGCTCGACTTTTTTTCCCGCCACCATCTCTATTCCTTTTTTTTCCTGCAAACACATCCACCCCCAACCCTCGCGCGCTCGGCCGCGCGCCGCGGGTGGAATTTGATGTCGTTTTGGTTCATAGCGCTGGGTGTATAAAAAAAAATTTTTTTTACAGCCCTCAATGGCGAGAGAGTGGCTGGAATGAAGAGTGATTTTTTCGTCGTTTTGCTGTTTTATTTCAGCGACTGTCGCCCTCCTCCGCCCTGATGCCATTATCACATTGACACATGCAGTCCTGGACAGTTGTGATAGAGGACTCGGAGACTGAACTTGGCCAGATTGGCGACCGGGGGCGGAGGGGGCGCAGTTCTCACGTGATTTTTTCTCTGTCGCGCTCCGCAAATCCCACCATCGCTGCAAATGCACACGATGATGTGTTAATTTCGCAGCTGAGCACATGTGATCGCTCTATTCTGCGCCGGGGTTAAATACGCCAAAATACACTTTTACAGCAAGAGCTTTTTTGCAAAAGGGAAATTGAAAGCCCGGAAATGTGGCTTTAGTTTATTTATTGCAAGAAATTTAGGCTATTTCTTTGGGACTTATTAGTCTTGTCTTCGGGAAGAAATGGATTAATGTGGAGTGATTCTTAGTCACAAAAATATGTAAAAAATGTGTTATATTGGCTTAACACACGCCAAACTCAAATGGCGATTATGTAAAAATATTCACAACTTGTGTTAATAATTTTACCACTTGTGTTATTTGTTATTCTGGCCAACACGTGTTAAACCATTTTGTATCGCCTGAATGTGTAATTTTAACACAATCTCAAGAGGTTATTTTAAAGAATGTGGAATGTGTAAAGAGCAAATGAGTAACAGATTTAAATCTGCAAATATCTTGCAAAGATGGATTAATCTGCAATTGTGGCACTAATTTTCAAGCATGAACATGAATTATGTTTATAATAATTTCTTTTTATCACGGATTTATTAGTTATGAACTTGAATTTTAATCATTTTGAAAAATTCACCATTTCTTCTCTCTAAAACCCCAAAACATTGTTTTAGCGAGAATGACACAAAATTAAGTTAGGACACCTAAGAAAACTTGGATCAATTTGCTTCTTAGCGCTAAAAATGTAATAATGACTGAAAAGCAAGTTTGCAAAATCCATCAAACAATATTATTTTAGGTCTTTCTATCATTTTTTCGTCTATTTGGCATTGTCGACGCGAAAGGTTAATCTCCACCTCGCCCACCTGAAAAATATCGAGCGCTGTCCTTTTAGGCACTTTGGCGGGATTAAGAGATGCAATTTTTTATGGCTCAATACAATATTGATGACGATAGTGGAAATTGACTTTCGATCCATTAATTTGACAAGAGGTCGCTGTGCGCGCGGCCCAAGATGGCCATTTTTGAGTCATTGCGCGGCTGATTTGAAAATGTGATTGAGTGTCTGCGATCTATGGCTCGATGGCGGTTTCTTTTTTGTCTGAATATTGAACTCTCTCGCGCGCAAGTAATCAATCCTCCCCATTAAGTGGCACTCCGAGCGCCGCGAGATTAGACTAAAATTCCTGTCACACTGGCCTCTCTTTCTTTCTCCTCCTCCTCCTTATAAATTGGTAGACAAGATATCGTGACATTTCTCATAATTTTTTCCCCACTCAAGCCGCGCGCAGATCGTGAGCTCGCACGACGATCGCTGGCGCTGCTGTCGGGTCACGTGGCCGGGCGAGGAATTCACTGCAAATGGACACACATGTGTTCCTCAAGTGGAGTGAATGCGGAGAAGCATGATTAATCTCTGGGGATAAAGTGACGGAATCTCCCAGGTTTTGTGCCACGATTGGTTGGTCGCGATGAAACTGGCGCCGCCCATTATCTCTTGTGGCTCAAGAGACTGTCTCTGACTTCTTCTCTGTGCTTTTTCTCCAATTCCGGAGATGCCGGGCAGCCCAGCACGGAGAGCTCTGTGGGCAAAAGAGAGAGAGCGCCGTCCGAAGAGTGGCTTTTTATCTCCCATTTATCGGGAATTTATCTCCATTTTACATGCGGCCAGCATTATCCCCCTCAACTGAATTTATTTTAACGCGCCGGCCGTTACAATATTAAGAAATAAAATACAAAGCACGCAGCTCCGACTCGCAATTTATATTATTGATTATTATTGGAGTGAAGATGACGATGTCAGGGAGACACTATCTAAAGAGGTTCTCTCTCTTCCCATGTCTCGGCTGGGCCCTCGAGAGATCCCGGAGCATTTGCTGATCCGCCGCAAATGTGTGCAATCATAACATGGAATCCGCCTGAACACTTCTTTCACCTCCTCAGCCAATCGGCCGAGAAATTTATGCAAGAGATTGAGGAAATACACTCCAGAGGCGTGAATTAATGCTCTACTCCATCCCTTATCAATGCTATCAAAGCCACATTGTTTGCACCGCACCAGGGAAATTCTCATCCCACAAATCCACCAGATGATACCAATAAATCCCTGCGCATCTCACTGTCCGATCGTCTGCGGGAATATTTAAGTTATTGATCTGGTAATGCGAGAGAGCACGCTTTTAATTGATTTCTCATTGCCCAAGGCAAACACTATCTTTATTCTCCTGAATTTTATGTCTCTGGCCATAAAGAGAAAAATTATATGGTTTTAATGTGTGGTGCTTTACCTGGTGATATTGAGACACTTGCAGTGCATTTGGATTATTGCAGATTTGCAAATGAAATTTTACTGCATTGGCTTGACATTTTGCAATTTTATTGCGGAAAAATGTGCGTCAGAAAATGCCATATTTGATGCGCAATGACTAGAAATTAACCCTTAAATCAAGGGAGAGATAATATGCCTGAAATCTGTGCATCACTTCCACAATAATTCTCAAATCTAATTTAATTTCTTAAGTTTCCATTCGATTTTTTGTGAGAATTGACTCTGAACCGCTGTTTTTTAGACATCTTTTCCGACCATAACCTCAAAAATTCCACTAAAAGATCTTTAAAGACTAATTTTAAAAGCTTTCCAGATCACAAAATCATCTCTTTGGATTTGCCAAGAGTCAAAATTGTCAAGAATTGTTTCTAAATAACCATTTTCCACGAGAAAATGACTATTTTTGAGGTTATGTTATATCTTAAGACGATTAGAAGCGTTTCTTAGCATAAAAAATGCAATAATCACAAAAATGCATTTTTGTGATTATTTCTATGCAAAAATTAAGCGATTTCCAAAGAATCTAGACTGTTTTTCAATAAAAAAGCAACTCAGAAGAGGAATATTTGATGCTTTTGCACACTTCTGCTGAGCTGTACACCACTTCTGGCTATATTATCTCCCCCTTGGTCTTAATGACGAATAGAATCATATTTTCAATATTGCAAGAAAATCAAACGTATTTTTCTGTAGAAATTAAAATGCTTGTGGTGCCGAAAGGGTTAATGACCCTTCATAAAATTATTATTTATGCCCCCAATCAAATAATTTTCATTTCCCTTATTTTATATTTACACACGAATTAACATTACATCAACTTCTAATTACCTCGTAACGCAGAATCAATATCTTGGCTGGTGAAGAAGTCCACTTTATTATCGTTGAGGCTCTACAAGGTGTATTGGAATTATCACCTGGGCGATTGATGCCTTCCATTTGTTTGGCAGCCCTTCTGGTGTCCTGATACCGCTCATCCCTTCACGCGCGGGAACACGTGCGATGGCCAAGATAGGGGTTGGGCTTCTCCGTGGCCCAAATGTTGTTTGCACGCCGGACGGGCGATGTTTTTTCCGTGGCCGATGAACAGGGGGTTGATTGTTACTCATTAATAGATTGTCGCATGTGATAGCGATGGTGGAGCCCTTGCCATGTGGGTGGTGATAATTTGGTCAAAGTGGCCTCTCGCAGCGACTGTTTATTTTACCTAAAATTGGGTTAATAATTCGATAAAATGCTAGTTCAATATTTGGGTGAGTGACAAAAAGGGGTGAAAGTGAGGCGACAGGGATGTTTTCCTTTGCCATTTTGAGATCACAAATTTGTGGTTCCGTTTAGAAATAAACAATTTCTCTCTATTAATTTATCAGATGGCTGACCTTTTTCACTTCGTGTATCACAAATTCGATCCGCTTGTCACCTGTTGCCAGGAATTCCTCCTCACTCGCTTTTTCGGCTCTCCATGAGCCCCCAACAATGGACTGTGAAGTGCAACCCCTGAGCCCAGCACCCCTTTTCATTGGGATATATACCTCACAACTGCTGTTGCCCATTAATAATAACTATCTAACTATTCAATAACCATACTTGGAATTTATATATTGAGAGGTGAGCCAAGCAGAATTATTTTCGTTCGCCCGTCCCACAAAACTCAATCGATACACAAAGAGTGAAAATTAATTTTGGCGCGATTGAAGATAAATTTCCTTCCGCTCTGGATCTGTCTCATTCTCATTTTCCCCTGGCCATATTCCATCCCTTCTCTGGCCTGCCGAGGAATCCTGTGTGTGCTGAGGCGCTGTATTAAATGCTTTTTGTGTTCTGACCGAGAGAGAGAGAGATGGCAAAAAAGGTGCCGGGAAACTCGACGTTCTCCCGCAGCATTTTCCCCATAGTCAGGAGGTGGAGAGGCAAAAGGCTGGAAAATGCTGGGGGGAAACCTCATCAATATTCATCGAAAAGAACTTATGAATGGTTTATAAAAATTATAAGAAAATAAATCATCAACCTGTCAGCTACTTTTATCATCATTTAATATTTTTCAACTCAATCCTCTTGGCGAATCTCACGTTGACTCTTGGAAGTGGGGCACAAGACCCAGTGGAAGTGCCAAGGGGTCGCGGAGTTTATCGCGAGATTCCCCAGAGAAGCATTGAGGCGTAATTTGGATTGTTGTCCAGCCTTGAGGCGTCACACGTGGGAATTTCCTATGAAAATCTATTGGAAATCTCTCGGAATGTCCAATTAAAATGCAGACAATTCGAAAACACCCAATAGAATTCTGCCAAATCTGAATGGGATCCGCTTTTCCCCCTTCTGATAAACCCCTGGTGACATGCTGCTCTCCTGTCTTCACTTTCTCAGGACCAAAGGACAGCTCTGGGTGGGAAAAAAAGGCGAGAAGAGTGTTGAATGGAATTTAATTTTGTGTGAGAGATGCCAGATTGACAGCTTCGATGATGGGAAATTTCAATTCTAGCCCGATTTTTGCAATCTATCGCGCAGCATAAATTCATCTCCCACGATGTTTGATTCCTTCAGCATATTTTCACCATGTCACAGCGATCGCCGGCGACCTCTGAGCTGTCCAAGGAGCTCCGCTCTCGGGTGTGGGATTTGATGAAGGACGCTATCGTATCCTTGCAGACACTGTGTCGCCCAGAATCGTCGGGTTTCTCACTTATTTAATACAGCGGCAACATCAGCAGACACTTTCCGGGAATCCCTCTTCCTCGCCATTGTGATGCGCCTGGCAGGACGGGTGGTGTGGGTGGGGCATATCACCTCCGTCATCGTGAATATATTCCCTGACTGTGAAATCGATGGCAGTGAGAGAGACAGGAGGGAGAATCGAGAAGATTGAACGACAAGTGCGACATTGTCACATGTATCCTCGGTATATATTCTGGGAGGGAAGATATGTACCTCCGTGGAGCTTTGCCGAGCTTTCCGTGTGGGGAGTGAATGGGGTAAGCTGCTAAGTACACAAAATGTGGAATTATTACATTGTCTAACGTGGAGAATCAATCTGATATCGGGGCGTTATTGATATTTGGATAGGCTTTTCACTGCCTGTTTGCCTTTTCTTCCGCCATTCAGGCCTCGGCAAAAGTCTCCCTCCTCGATGAAGCACTGAATTCAAGCGTTCGGAAGCACATTATTCAATTTCGCTGAGATTTCAGCAAAATGTGCGTCGCGATAGGGTAAGTTTGGCACAATACAGAGTGTTTTTTTGTTTCTTTCTTTTGGGCTCTTGAGGCTTGAGATTCAAATAGTGTTAATACTTCTAATGAATCTACGTCCAAACGAAGTGCATTCACAGGGATTAATGGGTGAATATTCTCTCTACCTCTGCGGCATAATTGCGTTATCTCGCCGGCACAACATTCTGCACATTAAAGAAGGTGGAATAGTGGAAAAATTCCTCAAGATGAGCCGGAGTGAAAACTTTAAATTTCCATCATTTCTTATCGGGCGCGTCCCGGGGAGAAAGCACATCCCTCTTGGCGCGCTGCGAGTCGGGAAAGGCTTCCCAACATGGTGCAATGTAGCGGATAGATAAAGCAGATTTCTATTTTATCCACTGTTCAAAACATCACACAGCATAGTGTGCTGTATAAATGTAATAATAAAAGACACTCATTGCTGAAAGATGCGGAGATGTCGACGCTAAACCCCAACCCCGAGGGCGCGCGCCCGCCCGCCCCATTCCGTGGCTCCGGGAAGGGGGTTGGGAAAGTGACACTATTATTGCGATCGTGCGGAAGACTGATAAGACTCTCCTCATGACACGTTATGCACTTCCCAGACGCAATTTCAAATGAAATATTATCACTTTTCTAAGCATAAAATCACACCCGAAGAATTGTGCACGCAATTCCCGATTTATATAGTTTATTGTGCTTCGCCAGGGTGAAATAATTTAGCAAATACTCAATTTATATTGGGTTGTGAATGATTGAAAATCAGCACGGGAAAAATTGATTCAACTGAAAAGGGATTTGATGGTTGAAAAATGCCGAATTAATTTCACTAGATTTTGGGGGGATGAACAGAAATATGCGTGAAACATGCAAATTGCATGCCATATGATGACAAATTGGTGAAAAGTGGGCAATAAAGAGTGAAAAATTTCACATTATTCACTCATAATTGCATATATATTTCACCTAATACAATATTTGCACACTCACCCATAATAAATCGATTGTGTTCCTTTTTCCTCGCCTCTTTTCTCTCTCTCACTCTCTCGGCATTTTTTTCACCCTCGCCGGAGAGAAGACTAAACATGAAACGGAAGCTGAGCACGAAGTAGAATGCCAGGAAGTCGTATTGAGTTATAAAATTATCAATCGTTTCATATCTCAATGGATGCACTTGAAATGTGCCAATTGTGAAATTATAACAATATCCGCTCATCCTCTCAAAGCCACTCAATGGCAGAGATCTCAAGTTCGCACTGGTGAAAGCTCGGAAAATGCGGGGAAAAATGCTGAGTTGTCGTTCACGAGGATTGCACTCAAGTGGGCGGCAAAAAGGGATCTCGAGATGGGATAATTCTCCCAAGAGCGCAATAAGGTTGGAAATTGGTCACTTGGGGTTGGAAGTTGAGACGTGTCGTTGGTTTATTGATAAATCGCACAAATAAAAGTGGGTTTTGTTCATTTCTCTCTCAGCAACACTTTCATGTCGATAAATTCACCCTCTCGCCATTCTCATCCCCCTTTGCAGCCCTTATCGGCCGCACTTCAGACTCTGTGCTCTGCAAATTTATTTCAACGCGGCTCGTGCGTAGTTTTGCTTACAAAATGTCCACATATAGTTGGTTGGGCTGTTAAGGGGCGTTTTCATTGCGAATTGAAACTTTGAGTTCCGCTCTCAAATTGGCAAAATACAGGAAGAAGACAGAGAAGAACTCTCTATTAATGAGAATAGAGCTGAAAAGCAAGGAGGAGATATTTGACTGAAATCTACAAACAAAGCATTCCAACAATGTCAAGGGGTAGATATTATGGTTGGAAGTGATGAACAGCTCTTAAGGAAGTGAATTTCCATTGCAAAGGCTTCCGTTTTAACAAATAGAGGCATTTTCTGTATTATTTTGCTCAGAAAATCCATTTTTACTGCTTTTCTAGGTTATGTGAGTGATTTAAAATCGATTCTGGCGAAAAAATAACCCTTAAAATCATCTAATTTGTTCTTTAGTTGGGATTATTTCTCTTTTTCTTGGCATAATTTAGCGTTTGTGCTTGAAAAACTTCAAATTGGTAAAACTACAGTAGGAGAAAAATGCTTTAAAGTCAATCATAACCTCAAAAATGTAATTTAAATAATTATTGTGGAGAATTCAAAGCCATTATCTGACAGAAACTTGTTGTTGAAGGGGATAAAATTAGTCTAAAAAAGTTCTCCATGAACTGTTCTTGAACACCTTCCGGATTCAGAGAGTTTCTTTGGTGCCTTTTAGGAATACCATAAGACAAATGAATTGTGAAAAGAGTTAATAATATTTCCCCCTTTTGCCCAAAAGTATCGTTAATCGAGACTTTGTGTGTGTGAAGTGCTGCAAATGGCAAGAGATCTCCATTAAAAATCTTCAAGGATTATTTGAGGCAGGATGTGTCGGCGGAAATGAAAATAATATTCCGAAATGCCAAGTGTGTATGCTTGCATAATCCGAAATGAATCAAATTTAATTTATTCGCAATAATAATGTGTGGGAGACTCACCCTCTTCTTGTACAACAAATTGCGCCGGCGGGTGGCTTGATAAATGGATGAATGGAGAAGTGAAAGGGTTGCGAGGGTGTGTGTGTGCTTCTCGAGCCCTCGATAAATTCGTCTCGGGTGATTGTTATCAATATTGCAGCTCTATCTTGTCATTCCTCAGCAATGAGAATCATGTCTGGAGATCATTTTCACTCTATCAGGATCACTGCGATACTGGCGAAGAGGTATTCATGACTCTGCCACAAGTCTTCCTGCTGGAGGTGAAAATCACTGCAGTGCTCCTTGTAAATTGTCGTGCGGAGGGGTTGAGGGATGCCACGAGGGGGGTGGGAAAATGAGAGGTGTCTTTATATTAAATCTGGGAAAATTCCCTGCGCACTTTGCCAAGTTATCGCGTTGCCAGTCGAACAGTTCGGCATTAAAATTTAAAGTTTATATATTACAAACTTTGAGCTTTTCGCGATATAAAACACTCACA